GACTGCCTCTTCAGCTGCTACTATGTCGACCAAATGTAAGGAAAACCTGATTTCCAAATTTAACCTCCTATTCAACAAAAGACCGGACCCACACACCAAAAAGTTAGACGTTAATAAAGTCGTAATTAATCGCAGTAACAGTTCTATTTCCGATGGTCTGAAATCCGTTTTAGCTAAAGGTCTAAACTTTGCAGTCACACCTAAACACATACCAGTTAATGATATAATTGCCCAAGTAGACGTTGCTCTCAGGGGCCTGGGTCACATCGCTGCAGACGTAGCAAGATCTGAAATCGCTGCAACCCTCAAAAACGCTAAGATGCCAGCTAGCAACCTCAGCAAAAATGAGCGTTTTGAATTATATAAATTAAAAAAGAGGAATGATATTGTAGTTCTCTCAGCTGACAAAGGCAATGCTACTGTTATCATGGATAAAATAGAATACAACAACAAAATTAAAGAATTACTCGACGATGGTAGTTATACAAAAATAAAAAGAGATCCCACCAACAGCCTCGTCACACAAACCAACAAAATAATTTCTGATTCAACCGCATTAATTGATCAATCTAAACAGTTTTCATTGAAACCTTCTGCTGCCAGGCCACCAAGATTATACGGCTTACCAAAAATACATAAAGTTGATACACCTCTTCGTCCCATAGTCTCTACTATCAGCTCCCCCACCTACAAACTAGCTCGTTTCTTGTCTGAAATCCTGCGTCCTTTCACTGGAAAGACCACCTCTGCGGTACAAAATTCTACTCACCTGGTATCAACAATCAAGGGTATTTCCCTGTCCCCAGACGACCTGCTTGTCAGTTTTGATGTAGTTTCCTTATTCACCAAGGTTCCTGTACCTGACACCATTGCAATCATTGAAGACTTGGTTCATCAAGGACTAAACACTGAGGTACCCCCCCTGGTGAGACACTGTTTAACCAATACATACTTCACTTGGAATGGAACTTTCTACAAACAAACTGAGGGCACCCCAATGGGCTCCCCCCTTTCTCCAGTTATAGCTAACATTTTCATGGAGAAATTTGAGACTGACGCCATCCAGACTGCCACTCTGCGCCCAACCTTATGGAAGAGGTACGTGGATGACACTTTTGTCATCTGGCCACATGGCCGGCCTGCTCTAGACCAATTCTTCGACCACATCAATTCCATACACCCAGCCATCAGATTTACCATGGAAGTCGAAATAGATGGCAAGATACCTTTTTTGGATGTCCTAATTAAAAAGAGACCTGATGGTTCAATGAGCCACTCTGTCTACAGGAAAGCTACCCATACGGATGCTTATCTGAAACCGGATTCCCACCACCATCCATCACAGAAGAATTATCTCATCAAGACTCTGTATCATAGAGCCCAATGCATATCCGACCAGGAACACATAAGCAGTGAACTCAAGCACGTACACCAAGCTCTTAGGGCTAATGGTTACTCCGACTATACAATCCGCAAAGCTATCACTCAAACCATGAAGAAGAACCCTCTTGAGGAGCCTTTCAAAACCATCACTTTACCCTACATTGCTGGGATCACAAAAAAGATCTCCAAAATCTTGAATAAACACAAGATCCAGGTCCGTTTTAACACATTACATAAAATCCGTGATCTGGTTCCGTCTGTAAAAGATGTGATTCCGGACATACAATACCCTGGTGTCTACAAACTAAGTTGCCTCTGTGGTAGTAGTTACATTGGAGAAACCAAACGCCATATCTCGGACCGCATTCGTGAACATAAAGCAGACCTTAAACACGGTAGGACCAACACCTCGGCCGTAGCAGATCATTGTTCTAATTCAGTAGGCTCACATGCCATTGACTTTTCCAAGACGGAGGTTCTTTGTAAGCCATCTGGCTTCCATGAGAGATTCGTTCATGAGGCTATCCACATATACAAACACAGAGACAATTTCAACCGAGAAGATGGATTCTATCTTAGCAATCATTGGAAAGATTTGATAAATCATTTCAGTTCTTGATTGATTGTTCACGCTTACAGTGGCTTTCAGACAGCATACATAAAAAACAAATTTCGTCTCCCCCCTCCTCTTTTCAAAAAATAGATGGACTAGTCCTGGCAAACAGCCAATCGTTGCGCGTGACGCAAACGTTATTTATATATAAATAAATAAATATGCCGTTTTCAAAATAAATTTATGCAAACCGACACACCTGATGATGACCGTTTGAGTTATGGTCGAAACGTCGTGAGAATTTTTTTATTGTTTTATATATATTTTGTTATTTTGTTGTTTCTCTTCAACGTGACTTTACCGAAAAAACTAAGAATATGAATAGGTTTTACCCTTTTAACTGGCACAAAAACTGACACCTTTATTCAAGGCATCATGTTTGCAATAACCACAACACAAGCAGTCAAAATGCAAACAAAAAAGACAACTCTGATAATAATATGCACCGATGGAAACTGGAGTCTCGCCCCCTTCACCTGATGAAGGCCGCTTGTGTTGTGGCCGAAACGTCGTGAGAATATTATTGTGTTATTTTATCAATTTATTATTTTATTATCATTCTACGTGACTTTACCGAAAGAACCAAAGAAGATGAATCATTGCAGTCACGAAAGCTTTAAATCGAAATTTTACCGAAAGAGCTAAGAATAAAAACGACGATGCTGTTGATGATGATGATGCTGGTGCCGCTGCTGACGATGCTTTTGACGATGATGACGATGACGACGTCATTGATGATGATGATGATTCAAGTTTCAAGTTCAAGTTTCATTTATTTAGGTATAGCCCTGTGAGCCATGCGGCTCTTAAGTCTGGTCCAACCGCAACAAACAACATTTGAACACAGAGAAATCTTAAAGCGACAATGCGTCACAGAACCATCCTGGATTAAAACCAGCAAATATTCCACACACCAAAAAAAAACAACTTGTTAAAACGCTGCGTGCAAAAATCACAATGTGGTGCAAGCCAACAACAACAATCACAAGACAATTGATATTAACCATGTGTTTTCGAATCACCAAAAATAAAGCTGTAAAAACAACGCAACAACAGTAATCGTAGGAGCTGTGATGCCGTTGTTGATGATGACGATGACGATGTTATTGATGATGATGATGCTGTTGTTGATGATGACGATGACGATGTTATTGATGATGATGATGCTGTTGTTGATGATGACGATGACGATGTTATTGATGATGATGATGCTGTTGTTGATGATGACGATGACGATGTTATTGATGATGATGATGATGCTGTTGTTGATGACGACGATGACGATGTTATTGATGATGATGATGCTGTTGTTGATGATGACGATGACGATGTTATTGATGATGATGATGATGCCGTTGTTGATGATGACGATGCTAGTGCCGCTGCTGACGATGCTTTTGACGACGATGATGACGATGACGATGTTATTGATGATGATAATGATGTTGTTGATGACGATGATGACGAGGACGACGACGATGTTATTGATGATGATGATGATGATGTTGATGATGATGATGACGATGCTAGTGCCGCTGCTGACGATGCTTTTGACGACGATGATGACGATGATGACGACGATGTTATTGATGATGATGATGACGATGACGATGTTATTGATGATGATGATGATGCTGTTGATGATGATGACGACGACGATGTTATTGATGATGATGATGCTGTTGATGACGATGATGACGAGGACGACGACGATGTTATTGATGATGATGATGATGCTGTTGTTGATGATGACGATGCTGGTGCCGCTGCTGATGATGCTTTTGACGACGATGACGACGACGACGTTGTTCATGATGACGATGACGACGACGTTGTTGATGATGACGACGCTGTTGATGACGATGACAATGACGATGACGATGACGTTGTTGATGATGACGACGTTGTTGTTGATGACGATGACAATGACGATGACGATGACGTTGTTGATGATGACGACGTTGTTGTTGATGACGATGACAATGACGATGACGATGACGTTGTTGATGATGACGACGTTGTTGATCATGATGATGACGATGACGACGTTGATGATGACGACGCTGTTGATGATGACGATGACGATGACGATGCTGGTGCCGCTGCTGACGATGCTTTTGACGACGATGACGATGACGACGTTGTTGATGATGACGATGATGATGCTGTTGATGACGACGACGACGACGACGACGTTGTTGATGATGACGACGACGTTGTTGTTGATGACGACGACGTTATTGATGATGACGATGACGACGACGTTGTTCATGATGATGACGATGACGTTGTTGATGATGACGATGACGACGACGACGTTGTTCATGATGATGATGATGATGACGTTGTTGATGATGACGTTGACGATGACGACGACGTTGTTGATGATGACGACGACGTTGTTGTTGATGACGACGACGTTGTTGTTGATGATGACGACGTTATTGATGATGACGATGACGACGACGTTGTTCATGATGATGACGACGACGTTGTTGATGATGACGTTGACGACGACGACGTTGTTCATGATGATGACGATGACGTTGTTGACGATGACGTTGTTGATGATGACGACGACGTTGTTGATGATGACGACGACGTTGTTGTTGATGACGACGACGTTGTTGATGATGACGACGACGTTGTTGATGATGACGACGACGTTGTTGTTGTTGATGACGACGTTGTTGATGATGACGATGACGACGACGACGTTGTTCATGATGATGATGACGATGACGTTGTTGATGATGACGTTGACGATGACGACGACGTTGTTGATGATGACGACGACGTTGTTGTTGATGACGACGACGTTGTTGTTGATGACGACGACGTTGTTGATGATGACGACGACGTTGTTGTTGTTGATGACGACGACGTTGTTGATGATGACGATGACGACACTACTGACTACGGTGCCGCTGATGCTGATGACGCCGCTTGCCCCCCCGCCCACCGCCCCTGCCCACCGCCCACCGCCCACCGCCCACCCTGCCAGGTGTGCACGTTGACCCGCGAACAGAACCGCGTGCGTGTTGGCGACATCCCCGAGGACGAGCAGCTGCACGTGCTGCCACTCTACACCCTGTCGCCCACGGACGAGCATGGCGACGAGGACAGCCAGAGGCGCAAGGTGGAGAGCGGAGCCATACAGGTGAGAGGGGTGACAGTGTGTGGGCGAGAGAGAGAGAGGGAGAGAGAGAGAGGGAGGGAGATAAGCCTCGCTGATTGGCTGCGTCCGGTGGTGGCTGGATTTGACGACGGGTTATTATTTTTTTTTTCCCGGGATGTAAAGCGAAATGAAAAAAATAAGAACCGTGTATGTGTGTGTGTGTGGATGACGTTGGTCGTGAAAGCCTGGCACGTGTTAAGCAGAGAGAGAGGGGGAGAGAGAGAGGGGGAGAGAGAGAGGAGCCATCCAGGTGTAGTGTAGTGTATAGTGGTGTAGTGTATAGTGTAGTGTATAGTGTAGTGTATAGTGTAGTGTATAGTGTAGTGTGTAGTAGTGTAGTGTATAGTAGTGTAGTGTATAGTAGTGTAGTGTATAGTGTAGTGTATAGTAGTGTAGTGTATAGTAATATAGTGTATAGTGTAGTGTATAGTAGTGTAGTGTATAGTAGTGTATAGTAGTGTAGTGTGTAGTGTATAGTGTAGTGTATAGTAGTGTAGTGTATAGTAATATAGTGTATAGTGTAGTGTATAGTAGTGTAGTGTGTAGTGTAGTGTATAGTAGTGTATAGTAGTGTAGTGTATAGTGGTGTAGTGTATAGTAGTAGTGTATAGTAGTGTAGTGTATAGTGTAGTGTATAGTAGTGTAGTGTATAGTAATATAGTGTATAGTGTAGTGTATAGTAGTGTAGTGTATAGTAGTGTATAGTAGTGTAGTGTGTAGTGTATAGTGTAGTGTATAGTAGTGTAGTGTATAGTAATATAGTGTATAGTGTAGTGTATAGTAGTGTAGTGTGTAGTGTAGTGTATAGTAGTGTATAGTAGTGTAGTGTATAGTGGTGTAGTGTATAGTAGTAGTGTATAGTAGTGTATAGTAGTGTAGTGTGTAGTGTATAGTGTAGTGTATAGTGTAGTGTATAGTAGTCTAGTGTATAGTGTAGTGTATTGTGTAGTGTATAGTGTAGTGTATAGTAGTGTAGTGTATAGTGTAGTGTATAGTAGTGTATAGTAGTGTAGTGTATAGTAGTGTAGTGTATAGTAGTGTAGTGTATAGTAGTGTAGTGTATAGTAGTGTAGTGTATAGTGTAGTGTATAGTAGTGTAGTGTATAGTGTAGTGTATAGTAGTGTAGTGTATAGTGTAGTGTATAGTAGTGTAGTGTATAGTGTAGTGTATAGTAGTGTATAGTAGTGTAGTGTATAGTAGTGTAGTGTATAGTGTAGTGTATAGTAGTGTATAGTAGTGTAGTGTATAGTAGTGTATAGTGTAGTGTATAATAGTGTATAGTAGTGTAATGTATAGTAGTGTAGTGTGTAGTGTAGTGTGTAGTGTAGTGTATAGTAGTGTAGTGTATAGTGGTGTAGTGTATAGTGGTGTAGTGTATAGTAGTGTATAGTGTAGTGTATAGTGTAGTGTATAGTGTAGTGTATAGTAGTGTAGTGTGTAGTGTAGTGTATAGTGGTGTAGTGTATAGTAGTGTAGTGTATAGTAGTGTAGTGTATAGTAGTGTATAGTGGTGTAGTGTATAGTGGTGTAGTATATAGTGTAGTGTATAGTGTAGTGTATAGTGTAGTGTATAGTAGTGTATAGTAGTGTAGTGTATAGTAGTGTAGTGTATAGTGTAGTGTAGTGTATAGTAGTGTAGTGTATAGTAGTGTAGTGTATAGTAGTGTAGTGTATAGTAGTGTAGTGTATTGTAGCGTAGTGTATAGTAGCGTATAGTGTAGTGTATAGTGTAGTGTATAGTAGTGTTGTGTATAGTAGTGTAGTGTATAGTGTAGTGTACAGTAGTGTAGTGTATAGTAGTGTAGTGTATAGTAGTGTATAGTGTAGTGTATAGTAGTGTAGTGTATAATGTAGTGTTTAGTTGTGTAGTGTATAGTGTAGTGTATAGTAGTGTAGTGTATAGTAGTGTAGTGTATAATGTAGTGTTTAGTAGTGTAGTGTATAGTGTAGTGTATAGTAGTGTATAGTGTAGTGTACAGTAGTGTAGTGTATAGTAGTGTAGTGTATAGTAGTGTATAGTGTAGTGTATAGTAGTGTAGTGTATAATGTAGTGTTTAGTAGTGTAGTGTATAGTAGTGTAGTGTATAATGTAGTGTTTAGTAGTGTAGTGTATAGTGTAGTGTATAGTAGTGTATAGTGTAGTATATAGTGTAGTGTATAGTAGTGTATAGTAGTGTAGTGTGTAGTGTAGTGTATAGTGGTGTAGTGTATAGTGTAGTGTATAGTAGTGTATAGTAGTGTAGTGTATAGTAGTGTAGTGTATAGTAGTGTAGTGTATAGTAGCGTAGTGTATAGTAGCGTAGTGTATAGTGTAGTGTGTAGTGTAGTGTATAGTAGTGTTGTGTATAGTAGTGTAGTGTATAGTGTAGTGTACAGTAGTGTAGTGTATAGTAGTGTAGTGTATAGTAGTGTAGTGTATAGTAGTGTATAGTGTAGTGTATAGTAGTGTAGTGTATAATGTAGTGTTTAGTAGTGTAGTGTATAGTGTAGTGTATAGTAGTGTAGTGTATAGTAGTGTAGTGTATAGTAGTGTAGTGTATAGTAGTGTAGTGTATAGTAGTGTTGTGTATAGTGTAGTGTAAAATGTAGTGTACAGTAGTGTAGTATATAGTAGTGTAGTGTATAGTAGTGTATAGTGTATAGTAGTGTAGTGTATAATGTAGTGTTTAGTAGTGTAGTGTATAGTGTAGTGTATAGTGTAGTGTATAGTAGTGTAGTGTATAGTAGTGTAGTGTATAGTAGTGTAGTGTATAGTAGTGTAGTGTATAGTGTAGTGTATAGTGTAGTGTATAGTAGTGTAGTGTATAGTAGTGTATAGTAGTGTAGTGTATAGTAGTGTATGGTAGTATATAGTGTAGTGTATAGTAGTGTAGTGTATAGTAGTGTAGTGTATAGTAGTGTAGTGTATAGTAGTGTAGTGTATAGTAGTGTAGTGTATAGTGTAGTGTATAGTGTAGTGTATAGTAGTGTAGTGTTTAGTAGTGTATAGTAGTGTAGTGTATAGTAGTGTATGGTAGTGTATAGTGTAGTGTATAGTAGTGTAGTGTATAGTAGTGTATGGTAGTGTATAGTGTAGTGTATAGTAGTGTAGTGTATAGTAGTGTTGTGTGCAGTGTAGTGTATAGTAGTGTAGTGTATAGTAGTGTAGTATATAGTAGTGTAGTGTATTCATTGAGGGAAGAAAGTATTTGATCCCCTGCTGATTTTGTACGTTTGCCCACTGACAAAGAAATGATCAGTCTGTAATTTTAATGATAGATTTATTTGAACAGTGAGAGACAGAATAACAACAAAAAAATCCAGAAAAACGCATGTCAAAAATGTTTTAAATTGATTTGCATTTTAATGAGGGAAATAAGTATTTGACCCCTCTGCAAAACATGACTTAGTACTTGGTGGCAAAACCCTTGTTGACATTCACAGAGGTCAGACGTTTCTTGTAGTTGGCCACCAGGTTTGCACACATCTCAGGAGGGATTTTGTCCCACTCTTCTTTGCAGATCTCCAAGTCATTAAGGTTTCGAGGCTGTCGTTTGGCAACTCGAACCTTCAGTTCCCTCCACAGATTTTTTATGGGACTAAGGTCTGGAGACTGGCTAGGCCACTCCAGGACCTTAATGTGCTTCTTCTTGAGCTACTCCTTTGTTGTTGCCTTGGCCGTGTGTTTTGGGTTATTGTCATGCTGGAATACCCATCCATGACCCATTTTCAATGCCCTGGCTGAGGGAAGGAGGTTCTCACCAAAGATTTGACGGTACATCGTCCCTTTGATGCAGTGAAGTTGTCCTGTCCCCTTAGCAGAAAAACACCCCCAAAGCATAATGTTTCCACCTCAATGTTTAACGGTGGTGATGGTGTTCTTGGGGTCATAGTCAGCATTCCTCCTCCAAACACGGCGAGTTGAGTTGATGCCAAAGAGCTCCATTTTGGTCTCATCTGACCGCAACACTTTCACCCAGTTGTCCTCTGAATCATTCAGATGTTCATTGGCAAACTTCAGACGGGCATGTATATGTGCTTTCTTGAGCAGGGGGACCTTGTGGGCGCTGCAGGATTTCATTCCTTCACGGCGTAGTGTGTTACCAATTGTTTTCTTGGTGACTATGGTTCCAGCTGCCTTGAGATCATTTACAAGATCCTCGCGTGTAGTTCTGGTCTGATTCCTCACCGTTCTCATGATCATTGCAACTCCACGAGATGAGATCTTGCATGGTGCCCCAGGCCGAGGGAGATTGACAGTTATTTTGTGTTTCTTCCATTTGCGAATAATTGCACCAACTGTTGTCACCTTCTCACCAAGCTGCTTGGCAATGGTCTTGTAGCCCATTCCAGCCTTGTGTAGGTCTACAATCTTGTCCCTGACATCCTTGAAGAGCTCTTTGGTCTTGGCCATGGTGGAGAGTTTGGAATCTGATTGATTGATTGCTTCTGTGGACAGGTGTCTTTTATACAGGTAACAAGCTGAGATTAGGAGCACTCCCTTTAAGAGTGTGCTCCTAATCTCAGCGCGTTGCCTATATAAAAGACACCTGGGAGCCAGAAATCTTTCTGATTGAGAGGGGGTCAATTACTTATTTCCCTCATTAAAATGCAAATCAATTTATAACATTTTTGACATGCGTTTTTCTGGATTTTTTGTTGTTGTTTTTCTGTCTACCAATAAATGATAGACTGATCATTTTTTTGGTCAGTGGGCAAACGTACAACATTAGCAGGGGATCAAATACTTTTTTCCCTCACTGTAGTAGTGTAGTGTATAGTAGTGTAGTGTATAGTAGTGTAGTGTATAGTAGTGTAGTGTACAGTAGTGTAGTGTATAGTAGTGTAGTGTATAGTAGTGTAGTGTATAGTAGTGTAGTATATAGTAGTGTATTTTGTATAGTGTAGTGTATAGTAGAGTATAGTAGTGTAGTGTATAGTAGTGTAGTTTACAGTAGCGTAGTGTATAGTAGTGTAGTGTATAGTAGTGTAGTGTACAGTAGTGTCGTTTAAAGTAGTGTAGTGTATGGTGTAGTGTATAGTAGTGTAGTGTATAGTAGTGTATAGTAGTGCAGTGTATAGTAGTGTAGTGTATAGTAGTGTATAGTAGTGAAGTGTATAGTAGTGTAGTGTATAGTAGTGTATAGTAGTGTAGTGTACAGTAGTGTAGTGTAAGTAGTGTAGTGTATAGTAGTGTAGTGTATAGTAGTGTAGTGTATAGTAGTGTAGTGTATAGTAGTGTAGTGTATAATAATGTATAGTAGTGTATTGTATAGTGTAGAGTATAGTAGTGTAGTTTATAGTGCAGTGTAGTGTAGAGTAGTGTATAGTAGTGTAGTGTATAGTAGTGTAGTGTATAGTAGTGTAGTGTATAATAATGTATAGTAGTGTAGTGTATAGTGTAGAGTATAGTAGTGTAGTGTATAGTGCAGTGTAGTGTAGAGTAGTGTATAGTAGTGTAGTGTATAGTGAAGTGTAGTGCCTCTATAGAGCCCAATGTGTTCGCTTACCGACCATTCCCTGTTAACGACGGGCTGTTATCGGTACAGTGAATATTAATGAACGCATTGATTAACCATGTTTCTTTTAATATTGTGTTTATAATGTTAGTGTCTTTATGTATTAATATTCATTGTTTAGATATCCTAAAGTACCTTTTTGTGGAGAAAATTGGGGCAACTTTCGATGCTATCCGAACAAATTAAGAATTCAACGTGGTTCCTGTTCTCGCTTCACGACCAAATCACCTAACGACCGGTTTCCTGGATCCAGTTACCGTCGTTAAGAGGGGTGATACTCTACTAACCATTATTAATGCCTTCCACATGTGGCTCATTAGTGCAGTGGTTCATCTTCCTTGGTTCTATTCGGTAAAGTCGCCACGTAGAATGAGCATAAAATAATAAAATAAAGCAGTAAAATTCTCACGACGTTTCGGCCACAACACAAGCGGCCTTCTTCAGGTGAAAGGAGCAAACCTGTCGGGACGACCTGAAGAAGGCCGCTTCTGTTGTGGCCGAAACGTCGTGGGAATTTTATTGTTTTATTTTATTATTTTATTCTCACTCTCCGTGGCGGTGACTTTACATAAAAAGAACCAAAGAAGATGAAATCCTTGCAGTCACGAAAGCTTTAAAACAAAGTTTAGTGCATCGGTTGTTTAATCAGTGGGACCTACAGAGTGGGAAAGGGCGTGATCTGTAACGATCACCTGATTGGTTGAGAGAGGGCGTGGTCTTTAACGATCTCCTGATTGGTTGAGAGAGAGACAGGGAGTGGTCTGTAACGATCACATGATTGGTTTAGAGAGGGCGTGGTCTTTAATGATCGCCTGATTGGTTGAGAGAGGGCGTTGTCTTTAATGATCGCCTGATTGATTGAGAGAGGGCGTCGTCTTTAATGATCGCCTGATTGGTTGAGAGAGAGACAGGGTGTGGCCTATAATGAATGTGGGATTGGTTGAGAGAGAGAGACAGGGTGTGGTCTGTAACTATCGCCTGATTGGTTGAGTGACAGGGTGTGGCCTATAAAGATCGCCTAATTGGTTGAGAGATAGAGAGAGAGAGTGGTCTGTAACGATCGCCTGATTGGTTGAGAGAGAGACAGGGTGTGGCCTGTAACGATCACCTGATTGGTTGAGAGAGAGACAGGGTGTGGCCTGTAACGACCGCCTGATTGGTTGAGAGAGAGACAGGGTGTGGCCTGTAACGATCACCTGATTGGTTGAGAGAGAGAGACAGGGTGTGGTCTTTAACGATCGCGTGATTGGTTGAGAGAGAGAGGGCGTGGTCTGTAATGACCACCTGATTGGTGGAGAGAGACAGGGCGTGGTCTGTAACGACCGCCTGATTGGTTGAGAGAGAGAGAGAGAGAAACGGGGTGTGGTCTGTAACAACCGCCCGATTGGTTGGTTGAGAGAGAGAGACAGGGAGTGGTCTGTAACGACCGCCTGATTGGTCGAGAGAGAGAGAGAGAGACAGGGCGTGGTCTGTAACGACCGCCTGATTGGTCGAGAGAGAGAGAGAGACAGGGCGTGGTCTGTAACGACCGCCTGATTGGTCGAGAGAGCGAGAGAGAAACGGGGCGTGGTCTGTAACGATCCCCTGATTGTTCGAGAGAGAGAGAAACAGGGCGTGGTCTGTAACGACCGCCTGATTGGTCGAGAGAGAGAGAGAGACGGCGTGGTCTGTAACGACCGCCTGATTGGTCGAGGGAGAGAGAGAGAGAGAAACGGGGCGTGGTCTGTAACGACCGCCTGATTGGTTGAGAGAGAGACAGGGCGTGGTCTGTAACGACCGCCTGATTGGTTGAGAGAGAGACAGGGCGTGGTCTGTAACGACCGCCTGATTGGTCGAGGGAGAGAGAGAGAGACAGAGAGAAACGGGGCGTAGTCTGTAACGATCCGCCTGATTGGTCGAGAGAGAGACAGGGCGTGGTCTGTAACGACCGCCTGATTGGTCGAGGGAGAGAGAGAGAGAGAGAGAGAAACGGGGCGTGGTCTGTAACGATCCGCCTGATTGGTCGAGAGAGAGACAGGGCGTGGTCTGTAACGACCGCCTGATTGGTCCTGCCGTCCAGGTGCTGAAGTCGTTCCGGAGGGAGGTTCGCCGCCTCCCAGCCCCGGAGAAGTCGGCACGGAGGCGGCGACTCGACGCCAAGAGGGCCAAGTTGGACGCCCTTGCCGCCATGACCCCTACCACCCCGGGGACCCCCGCGACCCCCGCGACCCCCGTGACCCCCATGACCCCGATGACCCCCGTGACCCCCATGACTCCCATGACCCCGGGCACTCCGATGACCCCCCTGGGGGCACGATCTCTGACCCCGGCCATGACCCCGCCTCTGTGGAAAGTGAAGAGGACGAGGAGGAGGAGGGGCGGAGGAGGTGAGTAGGGGTGGGGGGTGGGGGATGGGTGTGTGAGTGGGTTTTGTGGGTGGGTGGGTGGGTCGGTGGGTGGGTGGGTGAGTGGGTGGGTGGGTCAGTGGGTGGGTCAGTGGGTGGGTGGGTGAGTGAGTCAGGGGATGGGTGGGTCAGTTAATCAGGGGATGGGTGGGTCAGTGAATGAGGGGATGGGTGGGTCAGTGAATCAGAGGATGGGTGGGTCAGTGAATCAGGGGATGGGTGGGTCAGTGAATCAGGGGATGGGTGGGTCAGTGAATCAGGGGATGGGTGGGTCAGTGAATCAGGGGATGGGTGGGTGGGTGGGTGAGTCAGGGGATGGGTGGGTCAGTGAATCAGGGGATGGGTGGGTCAGTGAATCAGGGGATGGGTGGGTGGGTGAGTCAGTGGGTGGGTGGGTCAGTGAATCAGGGGATGGGTGGGTCAGTGAATCAGGGGATGGGTGGGTCAGTGAATCAGGGGATGGGTGGGTGGGTCAGTGAATCAGGGGATGGGTGGGTCAGTGAATCAGGGGATGGGTAGGTGGGTGAGTCAGGGGATGGGTGGGTCAGTGAATCAGGGGATGGGTGGGTCAGTGAATCAAGGGATGGGTGGGTGGGTGAGTCAGGGGATGGGTGGGTCAGTGAATCAGGGGATGGGTGGGTGGGTGAATCAGGGGATGGGTGGGTCAGTGAATCAGGAGATGGGTGGGTGGGTGAGTCAGTGGGTGGGTGGGTCAGTGAATCAGGGGATGGGTGGGTCAGTGAATCAGGGGATGGGTGGGTCAGTGAATCAGGGGATGGGTGGGTGGGTCAGTGAATCAGGGGATGGGTGGGTCAGTGAATCAGGGGATGGGTAGGTGGGTGAGTCAGGGGATGGGTGGGTCAGTGAATCAGGGGATGGGTGGGTCGGTGAATCAAGGGATGGGTGGGTGGGTGAGTCAGGGGATGGGTGGGTCAGTGAATCAGGGGATGGGTGGGTGGGTGAATCAGGGGATGGGTGGGTCAGTGAATCAGGAGATGGGTGGGTGGGTGAGTCAGGGCATGTGTGGGTGGGTGAATCAGGGGATGGGTGGGTCAGTGAATCAGGGGATGGGTGGGTCAGTGAATCAGGGGATGGGTGGGTGGGTGAGTGAGTCAGGGGATGGGTGGGCGGGTGAGTCGGTGGGTGAATCCGTGGCTGGGGGGCGGTGAGTGTGTGAGGACTTGGTGTTGAGCGTTGGTGCAGTGGTTAGTCCGGCCCTGTGCCTACGAACCGGGGTGAGACCTGAGTTCAATTCCCGCTCGGGGCAAACACGACCAACGCCAGTGGCAGCGGCTGCAATCTCAAACATTCGTGGGTTCTCCCCTAGGTCGACTCAAAGGAGTGCCCGGTGCGATCTGCAGTAAACATCGCCACTGGGGAGACTTAGGCAGTCGGGCGTGGTGCTGTCCGGCCACCACCCCTCTCTCATGTGGTGCTCCAGTGGCGGCCTTCTTAGCCGGTGCTCTACGCTACCACTAACAGCGCTTGCCCCTACGGCACCGTTAGAGGCTATACGGGTTGGGTGTCCGTCTTCGGTCTTAACTTTTAAAACCCTCTCCTCTCCCTCCAGCCGTCATTCCTCCAAGGACGCAGTCTCTGCCCTCTCCTCTCATCCCACCGTTGTCATTCCTCTACCAGCATCATCATCATCATCAGCAGCAGCAGTATCATCAGCAACCCCTAAATGCGCACTACCCTCCACAGCATCTACTACAGGCAAGCGCATATAGCCCAGGGCTTCTTTATCACCATCAGCAGCATCATCAGCAACAGCAGCAGCAGCATCAGCAGCAGCAGCAGCATCAGCAGCAGCAGCATCAGCAGGAGTGCTTGCGGCCCAATGGAGCTCTCTACGATTACACAGCAGTAGCATCAGCAGGTGATGTAGGCCAGTCCCTGCAGCATCATCAGCAACAGCAGCAGCAACAGCACCAGCATGAAACAGGAATATGTGAAAGACAAGATGGCCGTTACCAGCAACATCATCAGCAGCAGGAAGGCCAAAGTCAACACTGTTTAAACAGCAACATCAGCAGCAACAGCAGCCAAAATAATCAGCAGCAAGGAATTGCATTGCCTGAGAAACAAGATGGCTGCCAACAACAGCAGCAGAATCAGCAGCAGAATCAGCAACAGCAGAATCAGCAACAACAGCAGCAGAATCAGCAGCAGAATCAGCAACAACAGCAGCAGAATCAGCAGCAGAATCAGCAACAACAACATCAGAATCAGCAGCAGAATCAGCAACAACAACAACAGCAGAATCAGCAGCAGCAGAATGAGCAGCAGGAAGACCAAAGCCAGCACAGTTTAAACAATAACAGCAGAAACAATCATCATATTCAGCAGCAGCAGCAGAATCATCATCAGCAGCAGCAGCAGAATCAGCAGCAGCAGAATGATCAGCAGCTGAATCTGCAGCAGCAGAATGATCAGCAGCAGGAAGACCAAAGCCGGTACACTTTAAACAGTAGCATCAGCAGCAGCCATAATCATCATCATCATCAGCAGCAGCAGCATCATCATCAACAGCAGCAAGGAATTCCATTGGCTGAAAAACAAGATGGCTGTCAACCACAGCAGCAGCATCATCAGCAGCAGAATCAGCAGCAGGAAGACCAAAGCCGGTACAGTTTAAACAGCAGCATCAGCGACAGCGTCAGCAGCAGCATCAGCCAAAATAATCATCAGCAGGCCTTCCAAAACCACCACCAATACCACAGCAACAGCGACAGCAGCACCCACCATCTTTCCCTCAACAGCCACCACCACCACCACCACCTCCACCATCTCCTCCAAAAGCATCATCATCAACATCATCATCAGCAGCATCAGCATCAGCAGGCATCGTCATCAACATCGGTGGCATTGGCCAGGACCGACATCCAATCGGAGCGGGCCCTGCTGGGCATAGGCCCAGCCTCCAGGGACATGGTAACCACGGGCCGGAGGGCTGGGCCAATGGGCAGGCCCATGATTAAGGCGGAGCCGCCCGATTGGTGGACGGGGGGTACGACGATGGGCGGGGCCTACCGCCTGGCGGAGGAGGCTGCTGCTGCTGCGGCGTCGGCGTCGCCGTCGTCGTCGTGGCGACGGCCCGTGGGCCAATCGGAGGGCGGCGGCGGCGGCGGCGGCGGCAGCGAGGCCACCGGGGCCCCGGCCAATGGAGGCGTTGGATTGGCCGGAACGTCCGAGGAGGAGGAGTCGGAGGGGTCGGAGGTGACGCAGCCGGCGACCGTGAAGACGGAGCCGCGGGATTGCGTCGATGAAGATGAGCACACCCAGCGTCGTCAGAATCATCATCATCATCATCAGCAGCAGCAGCAGAATCATCATCAGCAGCATCAGCAGAATCATCATCATCATCAGCAGCAGGACCAGCATCACCAAGCTAAGGTTGTGAATGGGTTGAAAGTAGATGGTGGTGGTGGCGGTGGTTGGCAAGGCCTGCTGATGAATCATCAGCAGCATTGTCACCAGCACGTTATGAAGGATGAAGTTAAGATGGAGGGTGACTTTGGGCATTGGCAGCAGCATCAGCATGAAGGACAACGTAGTGATCACCATGAACATCATCATCGTCATCAGCAGCAGCATCATCAGCAGCAGCAGCAGCAGCAGAAACTGTTGGATCGGCAACAGCAGGCTCAGCAGCGGCAGCAGCTGAGTGAACATCATCATCATCATCAGCAGCAGCAGCATCCACATCAGCACAGTCATCCTCAGCTGGAAAGGAAGCAACTGGAATCTATGCAAGAACATCATCATCAGCAGCAGCAGCAGTATCAGCAACATCAGCAGCAGCAAAGCCAGCTCGAATCTATGCACCAGAACCAACATCAGCGGAATGAGCAGCAGCAGCAGCATCAGCAGCAGAACTCACATCATGATAACAATCAGCAGCATCATCATCAGCAGCAGCAACAGCATCAGCAGCAGGTAAATCAATTGCACCGACATAACTATCTTAACTATTTACTATTTTTAATTTTACCAGGTAAGGCCCCACTGAGATATATAGCTCTTTGTCAGAAACGACGAAGCTATCACAAATTACAGCTCAAAGAGAAGAGCCTGATATCAATGCATGGAAATGTGTAGCAGTAGCCCAATACCTGAAACACGTGACATTGATTCTAAATGTAAAGGGGGCAAAAAACGGAGGACTGCGGAGAGAAATCCACGCAGTGACCACCACAGGGAGAGAGAGACGCAGACTCCATATATACAGCAGCAGCAGCAGGAAGGCATCGTCAGGGTAGGGATGGAACCCATGACCTCCTGTTTACAGGCGAGGGAGTTAACATCTCCTAGCCATCCTGATTATGATGAGAGATGCACAAAACTCAAATATATATATAGCAGCAGGCATCGTCAGGGTAGGGATCGAACCCGCGATCCTCCTGTTTACAGGCGAGGGAGTTAACATGTCTTAGCCATCCTGATTATGATGAGAGACACACAAAACTCAAATATATATAGCAGCAGGCATCGTCAGGGTAGGCATAGAACCCACGACCTCCTGTTTACAGGCGAGGGAGTTAACATGTCTTAGCCATCCTGATTATGATGAGAGGCTCACAAAACTCAAATATAAAAAGCAGCAGGCATCGTCAGGGTAGGGATCGAACCCGCGATCCTCCTGTTTACAGGCGAGGGAGTTAACATGTCTTAGCCATCCTGATTATGATGAGAGACACACAACACTCAAATATATAGCAGCAGGCATACTAAGGGTAGGGATGGAACCCGCGATCCTCCTGTTTACAGGCGAGGGAGTTAACATGTCTTAGCCATCCTGATTATGATGAGAGATGCACAAAACTAAAATATATAAAGCAGCAGGCATCGTCAGGGTATGGATGGAACCCACGATCCTCCTGTTTACAGGTGAGGGAGTTCACGTCTTAGCCATCCTGATTATGATAAGAGACACACAAAACTCAAATATATATAGCAGCAGGCATAGTCAGGGTAGGGATCGAACCCGCGATCCTCCTGTTTACAGGCGAGGGAGTTAACATGTCTTAGCCACTGTGGCACTAATAATCCTCACCACCACCACCACCATCATCATCAGCAGCAGCAGCAGTAGCCTGATCATCATCATCATCATCATCACCATCATCATCACCATCACATTAACCTATGATCTTCCCCAGGATCACTTTCATCAGCAGCAGCAGCAGCAGACCGCCTCCTCCTCCTCCTCATCCTCCGTGGCCGTGAACGAGGCGACGAGAGGGAGGGCCGAGGGGGCCGAGGGGGCCGAGCGGGCCGAGCGGGCCGAGCGGGCCGAGCGGGCCGAGGAGGCGGAGCAGCGGGCGGCCTGCGAGCGGGAGCTCCGCGGGCCGCCCACGCCGGACGAGGAGTTTTCGGACAGCGAGCACAACTTCCTGGACGCGAGCATCGGCGGCGTGGCCGTGGCCCCGGCACACGGTTCGGTGCTCATCGAGTGCGCCAAGCGCGAGCTGCACGCCACCACGCCGCTGGCGTGCCCGGACCGGGCACAGCCCACGCGCATCGCCCTCGTCTTCTATCAGCACAAGAACCTCACACGCCCCCACCACGGGCACGCACTCTGGGAGGCCAGGGTGGCCGCGCGGGAGAGGTGAGGGCGGGGAGGTTGGTGGTGGTGGTGGGGGTGGGTGGGTGGGGTGGGTGGGTGGGGTGGGGGAGAGGGGGACGCGTGGTGGTGGTGGTGGGGGTGGTGGTGGGGGTGGTGGTGGTCGTGGTGGGGGTGGTGGTGGTGGTGGTGAAGGTGGTGGTGGTGGTGATGAAAGTGATGGTGGTGAATGCGCTGGTGATGGTGGTGGTGTGGAAGGTGGTGGTGGTGGTGGTGGTGCTAAATGCGCTGGTGTTGGTGGTAGTGATGAAGGTGGTGGTGGTGGTGGTGGTAGTGATGAAGGTGGTGGTGGTGATGAAGGTGATGGTGGTGAATGCGCTGGTGATGGTGGTGGTGTGGAAGGTGGTGGTGGTGGTGCTAAATGCGCTGGTGTTGGTGGTAGTGATGAAGGTGGTGGTGGTGATGAAGGTGATGGTGGTGAATGCGCTGGTGATGGTGGTAGTGAGGAAGGTGGTGGTGGTGGTGGTGGTCGTGGTGGTGGTGGGGGTGGTGGTGGGGGGGGTGGTGGTGGTGGTGGTGGGGGTGGTGGTGGTGGTGGGGGTGGTGGTGGTGGTGGGGGTGGTGGTGGTGGTGGTGGGGTGAAGAGAAGACGGAGACTTGTGTAGTTGTGCGCGGTGTTGTGGTGGTGGTGTGTCGTACAGATCGTCCCCCGGGTTGCGGAAGGCACGACTTAGGGAAATCCGACCTTGCGGAAATGTCCTTAGACCTTCCTTTGCCAGTACCAAAACGTCGTGAGAATAATAATATGGGCTTTTCCCCTTTTTTCTGGCAACAAAACTGAGTCCTTTTTTTAACGAGGATTCACGGCTACTGCATTAACCACAATACCTGCAGTAAAAATGCAAACAAAAAACACACTATGATAATATATGATGATGCATTGTCCTTGAAACAGATTGGTCCACACCAAGGGACGGCTTTCTTTCGAGCACCAATTGGGTCGAGGCTCAAAAGAAAGCCGTCCCTTGGTTGTGGACCAATCAGTTTCAAGGACAATGCATCATCATATTATATTATCACAGTGTGTTTTTTTTGTTTGCATTTTGACTGCAGGTATTGTGGTTAATGCAGTAAACACGAATCCTCGTGAAAAAAAAGGTATCAGTTTTGTTGCCAGAAAAAAAGGGGAAAAACTTACGGAAATGCTTCCGTAAATCGAGTTAAAAAAAATCTACATGCGGAAATGTTTGCGTTTGTTCGGTAAGCCCAGCTGGTGCCGTGCGGTGAGGTTGCAAGGTGAATACCACGGAGGGAGGCCTGAGGCAGGCTGCATCACGTGATTGTTTGTTTTCTATGCTTAGAACGATCTTTTTTTGCCCAATGTTCACGTTTGCCAGTTTTAATTTTTAAAGTGTAGTTCACGAGTTACTTCCCTCATGTACTTTAACACAATTACACTTCGATTTCTTACAGTCTGAACCAACAGCAATTGGAGAAATCTAGGCCTAGCCGAATGCATCTAAACGAATATTCAAAAATGACTGCTTTCTGTTTACAATGTTAACATGTTCTTTGGTTCTTTCGGTAAAGTCACGTAGAATGAGAATAAAATAAAAAATAAAATAATAAAATAATAAATTGATAAAATAAAATAACACAATAATATTCTCTCAGAATATTCTCTCAGAATATTATTGTGTTATTTTATTTTATCAATTTATTATTTTATTCTCATTCTACGTGACTTTACCGAAAGAACCAAAGAAGATGAATCCTTGCAGTCACGAAAGCTTTCAATGGAAATATTAAAATGTTTCGTGGTATTTCTAAACAATTGGTTAGAGTATATCGGTGTTCTATTAGTAGTGTTAGGGTAGATATTTGATGAGATTAACGACTCATAGGAGTTCATCTTCTTGGTTATTTCGGTAAAGTCACCCACGTAGAATGGAATTATGAAATAATGAAAATAAAACGTAATAAAATAAAATTCTCACGACGTTTCGGCCACAACACAAGTAGCCTTCTTCAGGTGACAGTTCTGTTCCTTCACCTGAAGAAGGCTACTTGTGCTCATTGGTTTTTTCGGTAAAGTCACGTATGTAGAAATACAATAAAATTATATTAAAACCAAACAATCACGACGTTTCGATCACAACACAAGCGATCTTCATCAGGTGTCAAGAACAAATCGTGTTGTATTTACCTCCATGATTTGACTGCTTTCTGTTTACAATATTGTCCTTGACACCTGATGAAGATCGCTTGTGTTGTGATCGAAACATCGTGATTGTTTTGTTTTAATATAATTTTATTGTATTTCTACATACGTGACTTTGCCGAAAATACCAATGAGTAATTTTATGCAGTCACGAAAGCTTTGACACTTTATTAAGGCTACTTGTGTTGTGGCTGAAACGTCATGAGAATTTTATTTTTATTGCGTTTTATTTTTATTATTTCATTTCCATTCTACCTGGCGGTGACTTTACCGAAAGAACCAAGAAGATGAATCCCTGCAGTCGCGAAATCTTTAAATCGAGACTCATAGGAGATGCCGGGCGTTATGGACAATGATATGATGAGGCTGCGATAGAAGATGGATGACAGTGTGATACCGTATTGAGAGAGAATGAACATCATCAGTTACTGCGTAGGGGAAGACACAACTATTTCCGGCTATGGGAATTTATCTTGATTTTGGGGGGGTGAAATTGTTCAACCCTCCGACATGCGTGAATGAAATTCAGCTTACGGATCCTTCTCGGCAACCTCTAACCCCTTCCGTAACCTGGGGGACTGCCTGTACTCCGCTTAACGGCCAAATCACTCGATAGCCGCTTTCGCGGAGCCGATTGCCACCGTTAAGCGGCTGGGTTCCATTGTGTCGCGGGCCTCATGGTCAGCATGGAGCCCGTGACCTCCTGAGTCCCCAAACGAGGCAGCGAGCGTCTCCCCCCCCCCCCGCCCCCTTCCGCACCCCGCCCGCCGCCCGCAGGGAGAAGGAGCTCCTCCGCCAGCAGCAGGCCCGGCAACAGCTGCTGGGGCTGGACTCCACTCCGTCCCCTGCGCCGGAAGAGCGGCGGCGACGGCAGCCGCCGCCGCTCTCCCCGGCGGCGGCCGCCCCGGCCAAGCGTGGGCGAAGGCCCCGTCGCCCGGACGAGCCCCCGGCCGCCAAGGGCAGGCCCAGGCTGCGGCCGGGCCTCAGGCATGAGTGGGCGCCGCCGCTTTCGCCGTCGCCGTCGGCTCCGCTGGGCGGCGACGGAGGCGCCGCCGAGCTCCGCTTCTTCGCGGGCGGAGGAGGAGGCGACGGAGGAGGCGGTGGAGGCGGTGGAGGCGGCGGCGACGGAGGGGCGGCGCACGGAGGAGACGGCGTGGAGGAGGAGGAGGAGGAGGAGACAGCCGCGGCTCGGGGGCCCGCCGAGGGGGCGGGGGCGGCGGCCCCCCCCGCGTCAACGTCGTGCCCCCTCCTGCCGCCGGGCCCCCCGACGCGGGGGGCCCCCGGCACCGCGGCCGCCCCGCCCACGTTCCTCACCACGTGCGCGCGGCCGCGCATGCAGATGAGCGGCAACTACGGCGGATTCCTTTGAAGCGGTTTTGGGCGGCGGCGGCGGCGGCGGAGTGTGGCGGGAGAGGTGAGCGGCGGAGATGGGGCTGACTCTGTGGCCATGGTGGTGGTGGTGGTGGCTGTGGCCATGGTGGTGGTGGTGGTGGTGGCTGTGGCTGTGGCTGCTTTAGCGGTAGCAGCAGGAGCAGCAGCAGCAGCTTCATCTTTCACAGTGGGGGGCTGGTCGCTGCCCACGGAAGCCACAATGTCGAGAGGTATTCTTGGACGTGGTGTGCCGGGAGGGGCGGGGGGGGGGGGGGGGTTTGCACGCTGGCCGACAGACCCCCACCCCCGCCCCCTGCCCTTCCCCCCCCCCCCCCCCCCCCCCCCCACTTTCCAGAGCCCCTTCCCCTGGAAGAGACTCCACCCCCCCACCCCACCCACCACGGAGTAACAGCAATAAAAAAACTAAATCGGTGCGAGCTTCGACATCATCATGAGTATCGTCATAATCGGCAGCGGCCGGCCATCATCGTCGTCGTCGTCAACAGCAGCAGCAGCAGCAGGAGAATAAACCGACACCAGCAGCTGCATCAGCAGCAGCAGCAGCAGCAGCGGCAACAGCGGCAACAGCGGCATCAGCGGCGATAATTTTCAATGGAATCATCAGCAGCAGCAGCAGCAACAGCAGCAGCAGCAGTGCCAACCCTCACTCTCATGGCGCTGAGCCGGTCACCTCTCAAATGAGGCTCTCCCCTCCCCTCCCCCCCCTACCCCCCAACTTCCTCCGCCCACCGCACGTCACAGACTCTGGGGATGGACTCTCAGGGAGCAGCCCCGATGACGGTGGTGGTGGTGGTGGTGGTGAGTGGGGTGAGTGGGGCGAGTGGGGCGAGTGAGGTGAGTGAGGTGCGTGGGATGGCTACAGCCTAGCGGGGGTCGTGAATGGGAGAGGCTGAGGTGAATTATTGGTGCTACAGGAGCTGAGCGGTTTCGACTACCAAGCCATCGTTACTTCACTGGTGCTAACATCCGTTTTTGTTTTTATACTGGGCCGAATGCGTTCGAGGGGAGACCTTTTTACAATTAGTCTGCGGCCGTGGCTCGGGGTGGGCGGTGGTCTTGGAGGTTCGGAGTTTGCGGGAGTTGGTTGGCACCTTTTGCAAAAAAAAAAAAACTTTCGGGTGCTGGATTTTCTACCTGATCTCCACCTCCTCCTCCACCTCGTCCTCCATCTCCTCCATTGCCTCCATCTCTCTCCACCAGCGTTCCATTCCGCCTGCCCGCTCTCCCGTCCGGCGTCTCCTCCAGCTCCTGTTTCCCCTCCCCAAACCCCAAACCGCTCCTTGCTCCTCCTCCCTCTCTTCCGTCCGCCGGCTTGGAAGATTCAACTCGCGAATACCTCAAATTGTGATGATGGTGAATGACGTGCGGCGGTGACGGCGATGGTCGTTTTTGACGCAACGCTGGGGGAGAAGCAGAACCAGCAATTCTCGAAGGACGAGAGGGGGACTCTGAACGAGGCGAGAGATGTCGAGTTGACGTGAATGATGGACGGTTGTGTTTTTTTTGTTGTTGTTGCCGTCGTTGTTTCGTGTGGTTGGCGAGTTGCGTGGAAGCTGGCCCACGCAGTTGCACTCGCAGAGGGAAGTGGGAACGAGCAAACAGGCAAGGGGCACGCGGAGATACGACGCAAAGGTGCAGTCTCGCACGCAACTGGCACACAGAGACTCGCACGGACGCACAGATACAGACTCGCCCATAGGCAGAGGCTCGCACGCGCAGACACACGCACGGACAACGACACAGATCCCCCCGCATAGCCTTTAACAAACTGCTGGGGCAAGTGCCGCTAGCGAGCACCTATGAAGGCCGGCACGGCACACGCAGGGGGTTGGGGTGGCCAGCACCACGCACGGCCGCCTTTGTCCCCCCCCAGTGTCGATGCTTACCGCACCAGGTACCCATTTGAGGCTGAGTCGACCTCGGGGAGGCTCAAGACCAGCCAGTTCAGATAATCGCCACCGGTGTTGGCCGCGAGCGGGAATCGAACTTGGGTTTCCAGGTTCGTAGCGCGGAGTGACAATACACTACAGCTCCCACAACACACAGACGCGCACAAGCGGACTTGCTCACACGCAGAGACTCGCGCGCAGACGCACGCTCACTGGCACACCGAAACAAACACACACACAGACACACAGACAGACACAATCATTGACACACGGACACACAGACTCCCTCGCACACGCAGAGAGACCCAGACACCAGAGAAACACAACACGCGGGAAAACTGCCCCTCGCAAACACACACACCCCCAGTGTGGAGAAGCACGACACTCTGACGCAGGGAAACACAGATGTGAGTGCATGCACAGAGACGCAGATCGTAAAGGGAACCTCACATTGAACTCCGCTCGGCGTGTATCAGTGGGTGCTTTAATTTTCTGCCGCCGGTTTTCCGGGAGTGTTGCCCTTTGCCCCCCCCCAGCCCCCCCCCCCTTCCCCGTGTCCCAGGCATCGGATTTACAGGCGTCGACAAACACGGTGCTCGCAAACCGCACTCGGAGGAGGCCAGCAGCGTCCATAGGGGAACTTGGGAAGAGGCTTAAGTAGAACTTCTCGAGCAGTGGTTCTTCACCTTTACCGCAGCCTTTGCATCCCTTTGGTTCTCAATCGTTAAACAAACAAAAAAAATGCGTAATGTTAATTTAAAAATTAACATTACGCATTGTTTCATCGAAACACAGGTTTCGATGAAACAAAGCAAAAAAAAATACGGCCACGTCTCTTACAAAACAAATCCGGCACACCCCCCAGAAAGGGCTTGTCGCACCCACAGTGGGTGCGTGCACCCGGGGTTAAGAACCACTTTTCTAGAGGTAAAGATGGAGGAGGTAGGGGGGAGGTAGGGTGGGTGGGTCGGTGTCGACACGATGGGGAGTGTCCTGGAGGTGAAGGGGATTTAAAGATGGCTGCTAAATCTTGTAACTCTACCGATGCGGAACAAAAAATTTCGGTGCTCGCAAATCGGTTGCGGGGTTGGGGTTGGGGTGGGAGCCAGTGCCTCCGAAAGGGAGCTTGGGGAACAGCTTAAAGAGAAGTTCTAGAGAAATGGTGTCAGGGGAGACGGGGGCGGGGGGCTGAAGGAGTAAACACGACGGGAGCTGTGGCGAGTCACCGGTAGGCGAGGACGCCAATTTCCAGATGGCTGCTGAATCTCTTAGCTCCCTCTACCAACGCAGAACAAAACATACGGTGCTCGCAAATCGGTTGGGGGGTGGTGGTGGTGGTGGTGGTGGGGGTGGTGGTGGGGTACGGGGCGAGGTGGGAATCGGAGCCTCCGAAAGGAGCCTCCGGGTACAGCTTGGCAGAAGCAGCGAAGCCCCCTTCCGCCCGCCCGTCCGCCCGCCCTCCGGCCATCGTTGTCGCCATCGGCTCCTCCTCCTCCGATGATGATGGTGGTGGTGGTGGTGGAGGGAGAGGTGCTTGCCGACCTCCACCTCTTTGCTGGAGGGGTGACGGGGCAGAGCAGTGAGGTCCGGCGGAGACGGCGAGGAGGAAATCGTCGGAGCCGGGAGAGGGGGGGGGGGGGGGTTGCTGCTGCGGCGATGGCGACGGGGTCGTGTCTAGTCAATTTCACAATGGCTGCTAAATCTCTTAACTCTCTCTCACTCTCTCTCTACCCGATGCCGAAAATAATTACGGTGCTTGCAATCCACGCTCGGGGGTGAGGGGTGTGGGGGGAGGGATGGCTGTAGGGACAGGAAGTGTCCTAGAGGGACGCGGGAACAGCTTGAGACGTTATAGAGAGATGGGGGGGGGGGGGGGGGCGAGCGAGGGGTGAGTGCGTGGGGGGGGGGGGGGGAGCAGATGCGGTGTCCGTGTTAAGTCCCAGAGGTGTGCGGGTGAGCAGCGCGGTTCAACACGGCTGCTAAATTTGCTAATTCAGGGCAGCGGTGGGTGACATGGCACGTGACGTCTTACCTACGTTTGCAGAGTAGTGGGGGGGGTCGGGGTCTACTTTATGCAGGTCACTGTGTGTGTGTGTCTCTCTCTCTCTCTCTCGGCATGCTACATTCCCTCGTGGACGGCGGAGGGACTTGCTTGGCAGAGATGAAATGAAATATCGAAAGGAAAGCCTTGCGTGTAATAATAGAAATAGATGTGTGTGTGTGTGTGTGTATATATATGTACGAGCACGTCTTCGCCGAAATGCAAAATTAACGGGTGTGGATGCGTAGGGAGGGACAATACGAAGGAGGGGGTGTGGATAGGTAAGAGGGGGTACAGGAAGGAGGAGGAGATGGACACGGGGAAAGGGGAGACGCGACGAGGAAGAAGGAGACAACGGAGCTGATGGATGAATGAGGGGTGAAATCCGTCCATCGGTATGGTTCCTGTCGGGTGGGGGCGGGGCGTGGGGGCGGGGCGTGGGGGTGTGGGTGGGGACGTTGTTGGGGCGTGTGCCGTTGGCGTGGGTTATCGGGTCATCTGCATCGAGTGTGTGGGGCGCGATGCGGAAATGGAGTCGGTGGGCGGGTTGGGTGGGGTGGGAGGGGGGGAGGAGTGGGGATGAGTGCGTGGGGCGGGTGGGTGGGGTTACTTTCTTGGTGCTTTGTTGTGCAGTGGCTACCTCACAGTCGAGCGATGACGCGTTAGAGATTTAGAGACGTCCGGATCTTACCCAGGGGCATGCCGACGGCGGTGGTACGATCGGCGGATGCTGCATTCAGGGCTTCATTTATCAAGACTTCCCCCCCCACCCCACCCCCTCCCCTCCCCCCCACCCTCCCCTCCCCTCCCCCCACCCTCCGCCAGGCGTCACTGGGGGCGGTAGTAGACAAGGAGGCGTGGTGTGTAAGCGGCACTGGACCCCTTCGGTAGTAGACAAGGAGGCGTGGTGTGTAAGCGGCACTGGACCCCTTCGGTAGTAGACAAGGAGGCGTGGTGTGTAAGCGGCACTGGACCCCTTCGCGAAGTCGAAGTGGTGGTGTGGGTAACAGCAGCAGTTAGTGGTTGGTAGCATCATCCACGTGGCGATGGGGCGACGTAATACCGCACGTGGCGACGGCACCGGCTCAGGTGACAAGACTGGTGGCCGGCCGAAACCGAGGCGACCGGAGGGGTTGTAGCCAAGGAGGGGGTGGTTGGAGGGGAGTGGGAACAGGCGCATCCAATGGAGGGAGGCTCACCGTCGAACATTTGCCTTCACGCTAGGCCCAGGGCCTGCGGCCTGCGAGGAGACTTCCTCCGCGCTAGGCCCAGGCCTGCGGGATGCGACTCCCCGCGGGCGTTTTAAAAGCG